TCACAGAGAGAGGCTCCAAGAAAAAAGATAGAAAGGTGAATAGAAGAAATCAGGGACAAATTCTTTTCAAGCAGTTAGAAAATCAGAATGAGGACAAAATTATCATAATGCAATGTGTATAAAGCACATAGGTAGAATAACTAGGTCAAAGGGATGCAGCTCGATTAGCACCACTGCTATCTATTAGAATCTCTAATTCAGAAACATAAAATTTTAGGGATTAAAGAGCGGAACACAATTCACTTGCTGAAAGTTTTCTGTTTGAAGAATTGTTCAAGTTCAAAGAATGTCGTTCCATCCACATTATTAGCAGCATCCCCACGTTTTTGTATTTCGAGATTGAGAACTCCAACATGACTCTTTAACCAGAAAAGCAGGAAAAAAAATTATATATTCAAAGTCATAGAAATTTATTAGATAGAATCATCAATGAGGAAAATAAAGTACTTCTGATGGATTGTAGAGTGTAGGCTGCCAGTCTCAAATGAAGTGATAAAGACATAAAAATGTTTCCACCTACTTAGCTTACTAATATGTGTATCAGCAAGTTCATTACGAATGATAAGAGCCTAATTCTTTAGTTGTAATAGTCTAAAAGCCACATCCCCAGTACAAAATGAGTTAGATGACCTAGTACAAGTACGGGAACTTACAACTATATAAAACTTTGTTAGCCATTTTATTTTACAAATAAAATACTAAAAGACTAATTGAACTTTGTTAGATGCCTTTAATAGAAGAAATAGTAATCTTTTAATTTTACCTTTAATAGAATTCAGAAATACAAACACTTCATTACTTCAACCATCATTTTTAATATGAGATAGCATGTGAAATAGTGGCAGTAGATAGTATTATACTAGCTGAAGAATTTAGGAAAGTTTACTAGGGGATTAATATTTCAATTGATAGAATGTCTCACTCAGACATTCTAACAAACATCATATAGGCATTCCAAAATTGAAATAATTTGACCTAGCTAAGGCCTTTCATGCTCTATCTAAAATTCAAAGAGTATCATATAAACTCTACTCAGAGCATATAGACAAATCAAAACATAAGAAAAAAATTAATGAAAAACATGTAAACAAAAGTACAGACTACGGAGTAAATATATTGCTGCTAAATAGAGAGATACTGGAGTAACTGAATTATTGTTGACAACAACCCCATGTAAGACTTGAATGATTCAGAACTTCAGATAAAAAGTATTGATTAGATTATTAGTAGACCTGCACAAAAACGGGTTCGGGCCGGGCTCGGGTCGGGCTTTTTTATAATTTTTTTGCCCATCATATGTGGGCGGGCCCGGCCCGCAAAAACGGGCCTAACCCCATGTCCATACCTGCCCATAAGAGCGGGCCGGGTAGTCCACCGGGCCTCCGGGCCCGGAAAACCTTTATATTTTTTGATTTTTTTTAATACTTTAAAACTAATATTAAAACATTTAAAAAATTGTTAATATGCGTGTAATGTTTATAGGTCTTTCACCACATACAAAATTAATAGGGTTTTTTACAATAATATTACTAAAATAAAACTTATTTACATAAATATGACTATTCATTACTACAACGTAGTGTTGTGGTAACTTAAGTTCAAAACTATGAATTACTATGATTTCATTACTACTCTAGTAACTAGTCATATTTTTGTAAATAATCTTTATTTTGGTCATATTTATGTAATTATTTCAAAATAATACTTACACAAAAATAATAATGAGAAACTATACCTAAAATTTAAAATTCAAGCACAAAGTATTATCTTGAAGTACAAAAATAGATACTATATTAGTTGGGCTAGTGGTTCAGATCTAAAAACCTAAATTTAAACATAATAAACTATAAATATGTATAAAGATAAATTATATTAGAAAATATTAATGTACATGTAAATAAATAAATTATATATATATATATATTAAATGTAGCGGGCCGGGCTTATCGGCCCGAACAGGCCTACACCCTAACCCAAGCCCGCCCATATGTTATTGCGGGCCGAGCCGGGCCCGGCGAGTAAATATATATGCCCAAGCCCGCCCATTTGTGCGGGCCGGTTGAGTGGGCTGGGCGGGCCGGGCCGGTTTTGTGCAGGTCTAATTATTAGAGAGTTCAAGCTGAGAATTTTACCTGAAATTCTTTGATTTGAGATAACAACAACTTCTGGTTTTACTTCTTTGCCTACCGAACGGCGGCCGGAAGTCATAAAGCGATGAGCCACGGGCGGTGAGAGACGGGCGGTGGGCGACAACCATTCTCGTTCGACGATTCCCAATGGCCTGCTATTTCCGGTTATAGTTCGGCGATTTGGGGTAAACGACTCAAATCCTGAAGTGTTGAACGGGTTAGTGGTTTGCCGTCCGGTACATACCCGGCACTTGTATTTTAGAACCGGTCCGAACCTAAAAATTTGATACCCGACACTATCATTTATGGTAGTGTTACGGTGTTAGAACTCTTTACTTCGACTAATTTTAGTATCTGACGGAACCAGACATAAATAGATCAGAACAGACCAGAACAGATATAAATAGACCAAATCAAATTCGACCATATCAGACTTCGACTATGAATACAAAAAGATCAGACATTTATGAGACAAGACCAATTCTGATCAGATCAGATCATACTAGATCAAAAAAAATTCAATTGAACTTAAGTCATCCTTAGACTTAAATGGTGTAAGAGGACGCAATAATTTTTTAAGAACTAAATAAATTATGAGTAGTTCAACAACATTAAATTAAAATTGGTTAAAAATTAAATTGAAGAGGTTGAATTGACTAAATTTGCCTAATTATAAGAACTTGTTTTTATAATATATATATTTTATTAATAAAATAACTCAAAGGGGCATCTACAATAATTTCTGTCAATTCAGTCAAAAAAATAACTTCAAACCTTAGTTATTAATATTGATATTATTACAGAACTCAGCCACAAAATAAAAATTCACTTAATCAATAAAAATAAATGATAAGGTTGATAAATTAGAAATAGGAATTATCAACACTTAAGCTTTTATAACGATATATATTGTACATCATATCTACATACTGAAACACCTCTTATACCTCTTATATTAGTATGTATTCTATACGTAAATGTAGTTCTATTTTTTTTGTTTGTGCAACACTTAGAAAATAAAAGTTACATTATATTTAATAAAATGCAATACTTTTCAATATTTAAAAAATGTTACATCATACTTAATAATATGCAACACTAGAAAATAAATGTTACAAAACACTTACAATATGCAACACTTTTAAATAAGTCTTGCATAATTCTTTGGTCTAGAAGTTTATGCAACACTTATGTATAAGTGTTGCATAATTTCAAGTCTAAATGTTATATGTAACATAAAATAAAAGTGTTGCAAGCAATGTGTTACAAAAGGTCAATTTTGTAGTAGTGAAAGTATTGAACTCCCCATATTATCCTTAATCTTCAATGACATTATGTAATAGTGACATAACCCGTCCTAGTGACTTCCTGCCACAGTCCACAGTGACATCGCGGCCGGACATAGTGACACCGCCGTCGGCCACAGTGAAACCGTCACAGTGACACCGCCGATCATAGTGACACCGTCAGCCACAGTGACACCACCAAGGTTAATTACAGTGACAACAGAACACCACAAGCATCCCCACTGCAACCGAGCTGCCATTGTGCTGCCACCATATCACGGGCAGTCCCTAGCCCCCAACCTCCACTCCCAACTACCGTAACCATAGCCACCAGCCAAGCCGCCAACCAATCACCGATCTCCAACTAATCGCCGATCTTGTATTGAGGCTCCATCAATGAGGACCACAACGGCGGTAGGGAAGAAGACAACTCTGAATCGCCTTCCTACGACCGGATAGAAAGATATGAACCAGAAGACGTGGGGTAGGGCGATGACAGGGCAGATGACGAGGGCAAGGACGACGATGGAGAAGATTAGGGCGGCGGCGAAGAACTGATGAAGCGCGACACGATTCCAACTATTTTCATCCAATAGCACTCAGCTGAAGTCGAAGTAACGTCGATTCCAATCCCAATCGCCAATTGGCATGTGACGGAAATGATGGGAAGGTCAAGATAAGCAGACAAAGACCACAGATTCGCATCGATCTTCAATGTCGTGGTTGAATAAGGAGGTTGCCGCTCGCTGTCTCCGCTCTCTGTCGTCGTCACCCCTCACCGAGCTACTGGTCTCCATCGCTGCACACCCCTCACCGCGCTACTGCTCTCCATCGCTGCACACCCCTCGCTGAGCTTCGAGAAATTGAAGTAAGAGGGTGTCCGCCCATTCAAAAGCAGGGCAACAGGATAGGGATTAGGGATTCAGGGGCATTAAAGACAATTTAAAAAATTTCATTCACCTTTTTGTCCTCACGAGATTTACTCTTATTTTTGTCCTCTATAACTCTCATAGTAATAATTAGGCCATTTTATCAAATGTATTTTAAATATAATTTTTCGTAACGGATTCAGCAATTTAACTGGCGTGAACAACAATTTGATCAATTCCAAGAAATTGCCCTCAATTTCAATCTTACCGTACAAGATCATACTAATACTGTGCAAAATCTGTTTGAGAAGACTAGTTTTTAATTCAATTGAAATAATTCCAAATCCAAGGTGGGTTAAGCAGTCCTTTCTGATCTCAAGTTGGGTATGTCCTTTTCAATTGACACTTGACTTCCTAAACCATCACTCCAGTGGGCCTGCTCAATTTCCAAACCAGCAACTCCCATTTTCTTCCCCGGTTTTACGTTTCTTTCGGCTAAAACCACGCTTTCTCAACCCCTACTACATACCCAATTACACGTCGCCACGTCAATCCATTTCTTTTTGGAATGCCCGAAATGCCCCCAGCTGGTGGAGTTTTTGGTGGGTCCACTGTAGTTGAAACTGACCCGCGTCGCATCCTATCGTGACCCTCTGCTACGGATATATCTATAATGGATAAGGCCGCAATGAATAAATGAATTCCAAATTTTTTATCTGAAAATAAATGAAAAAGGGGAAAGATTTTATTTTTCTGGGTATTTAAGAAAGTAGAGTGAGAATTCTGGAAAGTAGGTTGTGGTTGGTTGATCAGGCGATCGGAGAGACGTGGAGTTGAAGATATTTCTCACGGGAATCGGAAGGTTTATGTTTATTATATCAGTTGTTGAATGAGAATTATTGGGGTTTGATCATCTTTGCTGGGACGGTTTAGAGAATCGATGGGGAGATCGTTCAAGGATTCACTCAAGTCTCTGGAAGCTGATATTCAGCTCGCCAACACTATGTAACTCCCCTCAACTCTCTGGTTTTTGTAATCCGTTTGGTAAAAACTGTAAATATTAAGCTTATTGTTTGTTTTGTGGACTATTGGTGTATAATCTGAAGCTTTTTTGAAATTTATACCGTAACTTGAAATAAATAAACTCAGACATGCTCTGTTCAGCTGTTTGGTGACATATTCTGCTTTCCAAGAGTAACAGGCATAGTTGTTCTTGTTCTTAGCAAATTTGTATGTATGTTTCTTTTTGTCCTATAAATAGTACTCCGTACCTTCTAAAAGAAAAGATGAATTGATACGAGTATATAGAAAGTATATAGCTATAAAAAAAAATAGATAAAGGATAAAATCGAAAACTTGGTATTCAATTTTTTTGGACTGATAAAAAAGAATTACTCCGTATATGTTTAATAAAGGATGCACTCAGGCTTGGACAGAAAGCTCTAGAAGGCTTGGACGACCATTTTAGCTGGAAACGGGGGTGTAGCTAAAGTGCTAATCTGCTAAAGAATGGCCAACCGGGCTTGGGTCTACCCCTGTCTGGCAAAAATAAGAATTCAGATGTAATATATACATATTTTGTGTAAAATTTTATATGCGTGATTTTTGAGGTACTGGCAATGCTACTGGCTGGAATTGATAGTACGGTAATGATTTGCTGGTTCTTTTGGTCCACTAGATAGGTGCTGAGATGCTTTGGTGAAAAGAAGAGGATTATGTGTATGTCCTTGAGTGGATTGGCTTATCATAAAATCCAGAGTTGTAACAAAATTGAGCTTCAATGTAATATGAGATTTTCATTTCTTGACAATATAAAATAGCAGTAACCATTAGTATAGAGCAAGGATAGACAAACATTTATTTTACACATTCTTTAGCTACATTCTTATCTAGTTATGTGGCATGAATGTATTGTGTAATGAAAAGTAAACTAACATTTGGTTACCTAATCAATGCTTGCCACGCAAGAATGTATCTAGAAACTCTACAAAGATATCTTTGTTGTTAGTATACAGCTTGTTTGGTGCTATAAATATTTATTGTTAGTATACAGCGTGTTTGGCGCTATAAGAACATATGTACATTTAGTATACATCTATCATGGGAAAAATAACACTTTCTAGGGTAAATAGAAACTCGATCTCGAGGAAGTAATTTGGTGTTACATATTCTACTATCAGCTTTATTTGTTTTGCAAAATAATTTTCTCATTTCCTTCTTTGCATCAGGGCATTAGGCTATGGCAGAGAAATAGATGGAGCTTGCATCCAAATGAGACTGTCATACAGCCCAGCTGCACAGTTCTGCCTTTTTTTCATCCAGTGGTTTGATTGTAAGGTTGCTGGTGCACTTGGCCTGCTTCAAGTTCTTGTGTATATGGTGAGTCTCTTGTGATTTTGGCGCTCTTATCACTTGTTCCAAAAAAATCTGTCTGGGCACTATATTTCTCTTAGCCTTACATTTAAGAGTTCTTTGGATCCCGGAAATGTTATGGGAACAAAATATGAAGGAAAACGTAGAGGGTGATTGGAAAGAAATAAAACTCAATAAGTTTATTTTGGAAACTTGTTGATAACTTGATACTCATTCAATTCATTTATTCATGTCTGTTTTATAAATGCTAAGAAAGATAAATGCAGGTAAATTTTTATACACAAGCGTACACATACACCCAAATAATATTTCCTTTTCCTCGGAATTTTTAAAGTAAAACCATACACAAGAAAACAGCTTTGCGAGCAGTTTTCGTCCGTCTTCTGTATCGTAGTCGGGAATCCAACTGTACCCTTGGCATCTAACGTTTCTTAAGAACATCTCTATTTGTTAGAAAATCTTGCAGCAATTATAGAATGGGATTCTTTTTTATGTTGCAGGCGTATGCTGATGGCAAAACCTCCATGTATATCAAAGAAAGGAGAGCAAGCATAAGGGACTTTTATGGTGAGTCAGTTATTACAAGGTGGCGGAGAATAGATAATTCCCTTGCTGCATTTTGTCTTTACAGATGACCCCTTGTTTCTGCAGAAATCATTTTCCCCTCATTGCAAATCCTAAGAGGGATTACTGATTTTGAAGAAATCAAGCAGAAAGAAATATGTTCCCTCCGGTACTCAAGCAAAGGGAAGCTTTCTGAGGTTGAATTAGAGAGAGAAGCAGAATGTGGGATCTGTTTGGAACCCAATAGCAAAGTTGTTTTGCCAGATTGCAGGCATTCCTTATGTTTAAGCTGCTACCAGGACTGGTAAGTCCTGCACCCTTGCCATGTCTTTTATGCGTTCTGCACCTACATTTGCAACTGCACAATGCCAAGTAAACTTGATGCCACTCAATTAAAGCTTTGGTACTCTGGTAGAAGTGGATTCAAGTTGGAAAAACAACTTGTAAAAATCTAGTGTGTAGGGAAGGGAGGCCATTTGGATCGTATCTAATGCCAGAGTTGGAAAACTGTGACTCTGTGAGGACCGAGGAAATTGTGAGAAACTAAAAATTGCTTTGGACACAAATACACAATAAACCAATTTTATGTGTCTGTTTAAAATCTTTTTATTTAATAAGTCTATTACCATTTTAAGTTTTTCTTTATCATATTTTAGTTTTCTTTGCATTTTCATGGGAAAAAACGAACATAACAAAAATAATTAGGTGTTTCTTTATAATACTCCGTACCATATTCAGTTATTCACCGTTAAAGTACCATCCTAGTCACTACATAGTAAAATGGAAGATCATATTTATTACTACCCTTACTGCAAAAATTGGACCTCTTGTAAATTCAAATTTTTGTTCATTATTTTTTATTTTGGTCGTATATTTTCATTATTTCAAAATAATTACCCTTTGTATTTTTATTAATTTCTCTCCCTAGCATTTTCTGGGAAACAAACACAGCCTAATACTCCAGTCTTTCATTGAACATATTATGTTAGTTGTGACATAACGAATTTGCTCGTTTCTTCAGGCGTAGCAGGTCTCAGTCATGCCCTTTCTGTAGAAGCAGTCTTAGACGAGTAAGTTCAGGTGACCTTTGGGTATGTGTGGAGAAAAGTGAAGCTGTTGAATTACCTCTAATTCTGAAAGAGGACTGGCAGAGGCTGTATAGGTACATCGAGAAGTTACCTGTCATCATTCCAGAACCTCAGTTCGCTCCCTATCGCCCTCACATTCGATGAGGGACTGCCCTATATCTGTAAATAGTTTCATGATGTAAACCAGTTTTAACAGCCTTCATTCTCATGAACAATGAATTGTGATAAGCTGGTGCTTTTATGCTTCTGGTATGAGGTGGCTTAGTTAGAATTCTAGCTGCTGAAGCCTGAAGCTAAGTTAGGCATTATTGACCCATGCCGGGTTGATATGCTGCTGTTGAGATGTTCTGGTTTTTGTGATCATTTCACGTACTATGGTGTTCTGTTTGTTTCAGAACATAATTGTATATAAATGAATTATAAATTAGTAGGTTTTCTATACTTTGATTTTAGGAACTTGGATGATTCATGGATTAGTATACCTAGGAGGCTACCTCATTTTGGCCAGAAAAGTTAAGAACCTCAACGGGAAGTTGAGTTGGATCGGTTGTTCAAGTTCTTCCAGATTTCACTGCGGTTTGGGTTTGGCTCGGAATAACCAATTCTTGTGTACATTACGATGTTATTTGTAATCATGAAAAGTTTTTTTTAAAGGGAGACTTATATCGATAATAAAACATTCAGCAAGAGACACAAATGATAAAGGAAACATCAATAGTATTCCTAGTTAAAGAAATATCACATGTCCTCCTACGTTTTGGCTCTCAACTAATACCATCCTCTCGGTCCGCCTTGCTTCCATCCCTTGATAAAATTTTGTCTCATAAACCATGAGACAAAATTTGTCAACATGTCCTATAACACCACATGAAAAACAAAAGCTAGGAAACTTCTCATACTTAAAGTCAACCCAATGCCCTTAACCCTGACCCTTCCTGAGAGTGGTTCTCACCTTTAGAGGCTTCCCCACATCCAAACAAACCCTAATCCTCATATAGGGCTTCCATTTTTTAATCAAACTGATTATTATCAAAACTGATAAATTTTCCAATATAATTCCCAACTCTCCTAGCAACTCCCAAATTCATAAAATCATAAGGAATATCGTGAACCTGAACCCAAAATTCAGCCTCATTCAGAGGTACACGGAGAGGAACATCCCCAAGCTTCAGTGCCCGAAGAATCAACAAATTCTGCTAAAAAATCCACGGTCCACCTTCAAGTACACGCTCCATATCAATATAGTGATAGAAAGTAAACACATACCTCTTTTCACCGATCTCCTTTATTGAAATACCTTTACCTGGCCTCCAGATTGAGGTTATGAGATCTCGAAGAACTGGTAATTTCACCATCCTATCTGTGATCACAGTCCCCACTATCGGAAAGAAACGGCGCAGAAGTGGAGTTCTCTCCTCGTCAGTCGAAGCAGAAAAATGACGCAACAAATACTAACCCTAGAAAACTAGGAAGACGACCGCTCTTACGAATAACCATTTAATTATTAAAAATGAGGATGTAATCATGAAAAGTTGGCATTCCAATTTTCTATTTTGGTTGTCCCAAAAAAATTCCACTATTAATTTTAGATATGAAAAGATAAATAAAGCGATAAACTTATTTTATTTTTACTTTTTTCCGTTTACATAAATGCTTCTCTAGTTTATAAAACCACATTAAATCATTATCTTCTTTAATTTGTGTGTTATTCAATTTTTACAAATCAAATTGGGAGGAGGTAATATATAACAAACGTACTCTAAAATTTATTGATTATTTTTACTCCGTATGATTAAAAGTAACCATTTTCCCTCCATAAACAAATTTTATTGTAATGAAATATGCACCGTATTTGACATTTAGGATGTTTTTAATTGAATTTGTTTCAGTTCCAGACTAGATTATACTTCGATAGATATAAAACACACAATGACCAGACATCTACTAGACTTTAACAAATCAAGAAAATTTCAATCCAAGTAAAAATATCTTTAGGCATAACAATCCTTGGTCATGCTTAAAGCGCTTGACTTTCAATTTTGAATAAGTATATGAGAAAATATGTAGGAAATAGTATCTAATATATGATCCAAATAAGGTAGTGAACAAATATGTTAACATGGTAACTTTTAATGACTATTGATGTTCACTTTTAATGTTTTATACTACGTGTTGGAGGTATTGGTCCTACGAAGGCTTCCCTTCCACTTTATTACTAAGACTTGCACCCTATGTTTACTCCCAATGTGATACCTCTATTTGAATCTCTCTTAACCAATTCCAATAATATGGTTGTTGACTTACCTGGAGTGTGCCCCCTCTTTGTTGTCCGCTGCTGCCCTCCTTGTACTCTTTTGTTTTTGTCACCTGTGAGTGTATTATTGTTGGTCAACCTATTATTTAGAAACTGAGGCTTCATCCTGTGAGACTTGTCGGTGAGAGAGCTTCAACAGTCCGTTCCTTCTCCTTTTTCCTATGATAGAGAGAGATTCCTTTGTGGAGTGTAGAAGAGAGGGATAAACATGATGAGTGGTGGAGTGAGTCTAGACTAGTGTGGTGTGTGAGAGTCTAACTAGGGGTTGGAGACCTGAGCCGGAAAAGATCGATCCTCAACACTACGAACAATATATTGATAATAAAACTGTAATCATAATATTTTTAGTCACGTTTTCCTTTATAAAACTCTTATTAGTAAGATCCGTTTTATCTAGAGAGAGTTGAAATCAATCTAGAGTGAAAAAACAGTGCAATAAATTTAGTAGAATAACACTACACGAAAATTCAACCCCTTTCTCAAAGAGGAAGGTTACTATTTATCTGAAAAATACAAGGCTTGAGCTTTAAGTACAAAAGACTAGCTAATGATAGAGTTACATGCGTTGTATAAATACTTAGGGAAGACGTCTGTTGATGTCATGCTTATGTGGGATTGGGGAGCTGCTCTTTGATGTCATAGATGATGTCATTCCTTCAAGATCTATGTCTGTGACGTCAGTGATAATGGTTGTGATGTAAGTCATGGATGTGCACATGTTTCGAATGCCCGGGAAACGACTAAATATGAAATCAAAATCATGTCGAGGCGGATTAGGTCTGCTCGGACTCGTTCAGTAGCATCATTGCAATATCTGTAACAGTAACTATCAATCTCGGCCCAACTAAAGTAGCTGGGCCCGATCAGATTAGGTATGCCAGCGTAGAGCTAGACTTATGATGAGATCTCGACCTCGACGCAAAACCTTATCCTAGTGGATAAATGGTTTGGGCAACTCTCTTGGACGATCATGGTTGGGTCCCTAGGATATATGATAATATACTCTATCAGTAAGATTCTAGAAAGAACCTCAATAGTTAATCGCTAATAGTGCATCAATTAACCTTTTTTAGACAACAACCTTATTTAATCTGGTTAGGAAAATGTGTGAAAGCAATCTTGAGATTTACTTTCAGTCTAGATTAGATCAGACTAGATCACTAGACTGAGTTTAAAGAAATCGAATTAGATCATTTACCAGACAAGACCAGTTCAGACTTCCACAGTCGTAAAATACACATAATGTAAACTCTACTAAACTAGATCAAATAAATTCAGAGTAGATCAAACCTACCAGATTAGAACATTTCAGATCAGAAAATTACAGTCCAATTAACAATATCTTAAGTTGATCTTGAACGCTTTTTATGATTTAAGAATACCACTTAAAATTCTTACTAGGGGTGCACGGATCCTTCTTAGCATTAAAGCTACAATTAAAAATAAAAATCATTAAATAATTAATACTTCCTCCATCCCTAATCCCTAAATGTTCTTTCAATCGCGGGTTATGAAGTTTGATCAGCGATAAAGTTAAATGATCCATGTGAAAACTCGGATTACTTTTAGTAAATAAAATTTACATTTTCAGAAATTACATTAAAACCGTTACAAAGTCTGCAAAAATTAATTTAATTTTGATATATAAAGTAAGATTAAGAGTGATCTAAATTGACTCTTGAAAAGCGAAATAGAAGTTCTTTTATGGACGGAGGGAGTAGTTAATTGTGGTGGAGGGAGTAGTTAATTGTGTTGAGAATGACTAATATATCCCTATCGTAAGTGTTAGAATGTAAGATATTTTCCAGATGTTTTCTTTTGGATGTTTTTCAGTCCCATATCAGACCAAATCTAGTCAAATAAGACTAAATCAGATCAGATCAGACTAGACTTAAACAGACCAGACCAGATCAGACCATATCAAACCAGACTTAGACAGTTATAAAATACACAGGGAAAACAAACATTTACCAGACTAGACCTGTTCAGACTGGACCGGACTTAAACAGACCAGACCAAACCAGACCAACAAATTTTAATCCAAAAAAACATCCTTAGAAAATGTTAAAAGTCGATGTGGCTAAGGACCAAGGATGTTTTTACTTAGACTATTTTTAGTCCTAGACCAGACTTGGATAATTATAAAATACACAGAGACCCGACAATTATCACCCCAAATCAATTGAGACCAGACCAGACAAAAATTTCTGGTCTTAAGTAAAAACATCCCAAGTAAATCATGTCACACACTTAAACCCTCCACATGTGAGAGAGCTTAGGTTCAAGGATGTTTTTATTTAAACTGATATTGTGGTCTGCTATAATCTGGTCTAATCTGGAACATGTTTGATCTCTGTATATTTTATAACTACACAAGTTTGGTCTGATTTGGTTTGGCCTATCAAAGTCTAGTCTGGTCCGGTCTGATCTTATTAAGGACTAAAATAAGTGCAAGTAAAAACATCTCAAGTCAATAAAAAAGTGAAGGGTAATTCTATTCACAGCCTCCAATTTACTAATTACAGTCACAAAATTAACTAAAGTACTAAATTACCCTTCTTAGACTATAGTAGCAATCTTTCTGGCGGCATTATTCTTGATTAGTCCGTCCACTAGACTTCTCTGTTAGGTTAGTTATCTCTTTTATCATACGGAAAACTTATTTTCAATTAGGGAAAATGGAAACTAATAATCCAACCTTTTAGCGGTCTTCTTTTAATAATCCCACCTTTTGATTATTCATGAATAATCCAACCTTTGCGCCACATCTCCATTCACTGGTCCTTGACCGGTTGATGACCTGCTATTCCAAGCTATTTTCTTATCTTTGCAAATCATTATACCATAAATTTCATCTTTCACAAAGATAATATTTTGCAAAGATAAGAAAATAGCTTGGAATGGCAGGTCATCAACCGATCAGAGACCAGTGAATGAAGATGAGGTGCAAAGGTTGGATTATTCATGAATAATCAAAAGGTTGGATTATTGTAAGAAAACCGCTAAAAGGTTGGATTATTAGTTTCCATTTTCCCTTTTCAATTATGATAAGATATCTGTGAGTTTTATTCTGGCCGAGCCACAACACAAATACTTGAAGAAACCTTCTTCTCAAAGCACACAA